TCACACAGGGCTGACTGGCCATTTCTAGTCCTATAACCAGAGGCTTGAAAAAATGCTGGGTGCCTGAGCACGCATACCGAAAATCCCGGCAGGAGGGAGAGATTGAGAAGAGACTGTAATGTGACCATTCCCCCATGGGGGATGCTTTCTCACTATCTCTCTCTTTCTCTCTCTCTCTCTGGTAAATGCATGTACCCTCTAGCCCACCCCCCCAAAAAAAAGGAATAAATGTGTCTTTAAAAATTAATCATAACATTAATAGCATTCCTTTGTGTCTAATTATTCAGAAAGTTGTTTTAATGTTCTCTGTCTCTTAGGCCATTGCCTCTAGTCTTAGCTCACATTATTTATAAGCCCTAAAAGCATATTGAAAAGGGAGGGAGACCCAACCATGGAGACACTGTAAAAGCCAACAGGCTGGTAGTCTCAGTAACGGGATAAATGAATAATTATACATATTAAAGGCAAAACTGTTTTTGTGACAAGTGGCTTTGCACTTAAATCAATAGTAAATGTTGAATAAAATATTAACATAAAATATTTTAGTATTAATGGTCTTTATTGTTTGATTCTTTCACAATGACAAACTCACCTATTATTTGTGAAATTTAAAAAGAAATGGAAAAAACAACAGTATTACATCAAGTCCAGACACAATGCTGGAAAATTACAATGGTCAAAAAGTACAGCATTCTAGAAAAGGAGACCAGCTGAGTTTTAGCCCTGGCACACTCATGAATTAGTTGGTGACCTCTTATTCTCTGACTCATTCAGCACTGTCCCAGACACATTAGGTGATGGGAATAAAAGAAGAGCCCACTCCTGAGCTCAAGAACTCATATTCTAGTTTAGTGGTTTGTTTTTAGGATTATTTATTTATTTTATATGAGAGACAGAAAGAGAGGGAGAGAGAGCGGCAAGTATTCCCGACAGGGTCTTACCACACCATGACCCCTCTCAGCCTTCCAGTTGACCAAGATCCAGTTGACGAATCTGGAGTGTTCAGTTCAATCCAGTCCCCAAATCTGGTGCCTTTCCATAGGCTCCAGTACTACACAGAAGTGCTCTGCCACCTGCACCACTGTGGCAGGACAGTTGTTGTGATTTTTATAAAGGGGAGGGGGGCACGAAGCCAGCAGGGGGCTTGGTGGTTAAGGCACTGGACTCCCACATGGCTGACTGCAGTTCAAGTCCTGAACCCAGCAGCTTGCTTTTTCACTCTCTCTCACATGTGCCCTGTAGCAAATTAAGAAATAATAATGATAAATAAAATTAATTAAATAATTACTTTTTAAAGTGGGGGAGGGGCAAAGGATGGAAAGGATGATGGGAGTATTTTTTTCAAACCACTAATTTCAGCGTGAGTTACTGTTACTGATGACTTTCGTGTCCTACTCTTCTAGTGGGCTTGAGCAGAGAAGGCTTGAGAACCACTGGTCTGCTTACTGAGACAGAAGCACAGAGTGTTCTCGAATATCACATGCTCAATGCTGTAATTATAATACTGCAATGTGGGCACAGAGCCTCCCAGGAAAGAGAGGAGCTAATGACTGTGGAAAGCCAAGAAGCATTGCCATTATGATAATGGTTGCTTGTTCCCCAGGGACTTTTTCATTTCCCCTTTGCACCAGAGAGCTATCACGAAAGGGGAACAGATGTGAGGGGCCTCTCAGGAGCTCAAAAAGGAGTCCATTTGAGAATTCAGCTAGTACCATCTAGGCATAAATATGTCCCTCGTTATTTGTGATGGGTCAACGTGCAGTTGAAGAGCTTGACTTCACTCAAAACTCCACCCAAGGAACCTGTGTTTAATCTTAGAGACTTGGATCTGGAAAATCTTCATTGTCATTTAGTTCTAGAAACCTACTCAAGTATTGAATTGTCCACAGAGGAAGACTCTAAGGACAGAAAGCAATGAAAAACATTGATGGTTAGAAAGACAGAAGTTGAGGGGCTGGATGGTGGTACAGCACTAGAGTGTGACTGACCCACATGTGGAATTTGCTGGTCTGTGTCTGGAGACTCCCTGAGTAGTTCAGGTGCACTTATGCCCATGGTGTAGGCTGCTGGGGCTGGAGAGAGACCGTGGTATCGAGACCCTGTCAGGATTGCTAACTCATAGAATAGACAAACTGAAAACTAAGAAATAGGAAGTTGGCAGTTTTTGTCCAGTACTATCTACAGAAGGAAATGATTAAATTTCCTGACACTAGAGTGATGCTCTAACAAGACTTCACTATAGCCTTGACAAAAGATGCCTCAAAACCAAAACTCTCCCTCCCTTATTGCTCTAATTCTATGAAACTTTCTCTGATTACTAATTCAGAAAAAGGAGTAGCTCTGAATAAGGTGTGAGAGCCTCCAGTCATTAGAAAGACTTTCCCTCATTTCTTTCAATATTATCAGTCTCTTGAAGGTTTAAATGAGGCAAATCAGCGTCCCCAAGTCTGGCCCATAAGAAATTCCCAGATTCTGCTGTGCTCTTTGAGGAGAACCATCAACTACCTCCTGCATCCTGGTGCATGAGCCTTAATTTTGAAAATGCAGTAATTTTGAATAACTGGTCAGCAGAAAGAGGTCAATCCCTAGAAATGGACAATCTCATATTGGTAAGTCCTCATTTGAATACAGCATTTAGTGAAACAAATACTATTAAATATACCATGCTAGACTACAGGATTCTTAGACTGTGCAGGGATGCCACTCAAGCCACTGGTGGTGTTCTATCTTTAAAAATGTAAACCTAGTAGTAGCAACTGTTAAGAGCAGAATAACTAGAAATAAATCAAAGCAATTATTGCTCACCAGTAGTGGCTGGGGACATAGCAAGGAGGAGCAAGCAAATGGGGAAGCTCCTGACTCTGCCAGTAGATGCCACAAGTTTTAGCATGTTAAATTACCCCTGCCTCCCCACTTCCTATCCTATAAAGTAAAGGGAGAGGAGTAAAGCTGTTCTACTCCCTAGCAATCCCCCTACAGCACACTAAACAGGCTGCATTTAGGCAGCTCAGTTCCTGCTCTAGGGTGTTTCCTGGATAGTAAGCTTCATTTTATTTCACTAGTACAAAAATGGACCATCAGGTGATCTTCCCAGAGCTGATCTTTCTTTCTTTTCTTCATATATTCACTCAACTAATATTTTTTTAAATCCATCTGTGCCAGGAACTATCTTCCATAGCATGGGATTGGGTTTTTACAGAATGGACAAAGAGGGAGTAAAGTCCAGGGACAGCACTCTGGCCAAAAGTTCAGGTACCTGCAGACTCAACTCTGTGGGAGAGAGGAAGCAAGCATCAAGCTGCCCATCCCTATCGAGTCCTTCAGAATTCCTCATGCTGCAGTAGAATTTGACCTTGGGATTACAAACCACTCGCTTTCCTTGTTTTTAATTTTTTTTAATTTTTAGATTTTTTTTGTTATAGGGCACATGCACTGACTGGAGAGATGGAGAGACAGACAGAGAGACAGAAAGCAAGAAATCACCCCTTGGGGCGTGTGTGTGTGTGTGTGTGTGGGGGGGGTGTTGACCGCACTGCAATCCCTTTTCCTCCAGGAGAACCATCAACTACCTCCTGCATCCTGGTGCATGAGCCTTAATTTTGAAAATGCAGTAATTTTGAATAACTGGTCAGCAGAAAGAGGTCAATCCCTAGAAATGGACAATCTCATATTGGTAAGTCCTCATTTGAATACAGCATTTAGTGAAACAAATACTATTAAATATACCATGCTAGACTACAGGATTCTTAGACTGTGCAGGGATGCCACTCAAGCCACTGGTGGTGTTCTATCTTTAAAAATGTAAACCTAGTAGTAGCAACTGTTAAGAGCAGAATAACTAGAAATAAATCAAAGCAATTATTGCTCACCAGTAGTGGCTGGGGACATAGCAAGGAGGAGCAAGCAAATGGGGAAGCTCCTGACTCTGCCAGTAGATGCCACAAGTTTTAGCATGTTAAATTACCCCTGCCTCCCCACTTCCTATCCTATAAAGTAAAGGGAGAGGAGTAAAGCTGTTCTACTCCCTAGCAATCCCCCTACAGCACACTAAACAGGCTGCATTTAGGCAGCTCAGTTCCTGCTCTAGGGTGTTTCCTGGATAGTAAGCTTCATTTTATTTCACTAGTACAAAAATGGACCATCAGGTGATCTTCCCAGAGCTGATCTTTCTTTCTTTTCTTCATATATTCACTCAACTAATATTTTTTTAAATCCATCTGTGCCAGGAACTATCTTCCATAGCATGGGATTGGGTTTTTACAGAATGGACAAAGAGGGAGTAAAGTCCAGGGACAGCACTCTGGCCAAAAGTTCAGGTACCTGCAGACTCAACTCTGTGGGAGAGAGGAAGCAAGCATCAAGCTGCCCATCCCTATCGAGTCCTTCAGAATTCCTCATGCTGCAGTAGAATTTGACCTTGGGATTACAAACCACTCGCTTTCCTTGTTTTTAATTTTTTTTAATTTTTAGATTTTTTTTGTTATAGGGCACATGCACTGACTGGAGAGATGGAGAGACAGACAGAGAGACAGAAAGCAAGAAATCACCCCTTGGGGCGTGTGTGTGTGTGTGTGTGTGGGGGGGGTGTTGACCGCACTGCAATCCCTTTTCCTCCATTCTCCTTTTGGGATTTTGGGCATGCAAGCAGCGTGAGTTTCAAGCCACCGGGTCCATGACTTGAACTGCAGTCAGCTACATGAGAGTCCAGCGCCTTAACCATTATGCCACCTGCTGGCCTCACAAAGCACTATCACAAGATCCTTGTCACCTTTGAAATAAATGAGGCAGATACTTTCATATTTTACATTTATTTACATATTTATATTTGTATATTTAATTTATGATTATTTTTTAGGTTGGACCATATAAAATTGCTATTTAAAAACAGTAAAATATTGTGCTCACTACAGCAGCACATATCCTAAAAACTGCTAAATATTGGCCATTTCTGTCTGATTAATAGTATTCTTACATTTTGGATAAGGATATTGATCACTTACCTTGCCCCAGATGCAATTAAGTATTGTCAAATGACTATCTTCAGTTTCAAAGTCTATTAAATCCAGATGAGATGTGGGTTGCCTTTATACAAAGAATATTTTGAGATGACCAGTGATAAGAGTAGCAAAAACATAATCATGATTTAACAGTGAGAGCCCACAAAGTGCTAATTATATTGCACAAATTAAATCCTGTTCTAAAAATCCCTATAGAGTTGGTATCATCTCTACTTTATAGATACAGAAATTGAGGCTCTGAGATATCATGTAAACGGTTCAAAATTAATAGCTTATAATTAGTATAAATGGGATTCAAGCCTATGACTGTCTTATACTAAGCCTGGACTCTTTCTACTAAAATCATATGGTATCTGTTAGTTGTATATGCTCCTGCAGCTCTCCTGAACAAATAACCAATAAACTCAAGGACTTTTCTCTTAATCTCCTAGATGTAATTTTCTCTAGAGTTTCCTAAAAGACAAATCCATTATGTTTAAATATTTTCCCCAACCTCTGGCCTTTGGCCCCATGATTTCCTATCCCTACCCCAGCGCTTAAAAACCACTACCTGCTGAAGATGAGATTCCCTAAAACTATCAACAATCACTCTAAAAGGGGATAATTCATGTGATGGGTTCTAACCCATGATTTCACTGACTTTCAGTTGGAGAAAAAGAGGGTTTGAGTTATCAGATGCTCACCTCCATTTGTCAGGTGGTGTCCTGTAGATGTCCTTCTAGTTCAAAGGATCCACATCAAAGGCAACTCCTGCTGTGGCGCAACAGTAATGCAGTCCCCCAGGAGGCTGGAGGCCACATGCCAGCTGAGGGTTTGGATCCCTGGGCTGGACCAGGTGTGTGCACAACCAGCCAAGAGGAGCTGGAGAGCTAGGGAAAGGTGATCATGATATGAAAGAGTTCTCTCTCTCTCTCTTTCGTGCATATGCCTGTGTGAGCTCTCTAACATTAGAAAAAGGCGACTCCTGCCCCTATGGCACAAGTCAGGACAGGGTAGGCGATCCGGACTTCACTCAGAGCTGTTGTATTTCCTCTCTGGTTGTCTGGAGGCTTGTCCTTTGTTTTGAAGCCCAGCCCTAGCCACTTCCCACTTATGCTGGGAAATGGACTGCATTATTGAAACTTAAAAATAAATTAATAGATCATTTGCTTCTGTAGAACATTCAACTTTACAGGAAAAGTATGATCTGAAAGGGCCATAAACAACTAAAATAAATTACTAAATTTTAAATTTTCTATTCAGGAAGTCCTTACAACTGCAGTAATGGGTGAAACGTTGAAAGTATCTTAAGCTTGAAATGAGAAAGAGGCACTCACATAATTATCTTTAAACAAGGAAGGAGATGAAGGAAAGAAAATAACAATAGCTAGAGTTGATAAAGAGGTTTGGCATTCTTTTTTATGCTAAAGGAAAACAATAGTGAACTGAGAGACAGGAGCCCCAGATGTTAACAAATAATAATAACGGTAATGAGTAACATGTAGAGCCCTTCCTATGTATTGGGTACAGTACCTTGAACCTGAAATAATTATCTTTCTTTAATCTTCGCAACAATCTTAAGACATCGGTAGAATTTTTAATCCCCATTTTATATATGAGGAACCTCAAGCCAAAACAATTGAGAAACTCGTCCAAGGCACGTAGTGGAGTAGGAACTGAACCACAACAGTCTGACTCTCTGTTTCCTTTTATAAAAAATATTTATTTCATTTACTATTATTATTTAATTTAATGAGAGGAGAGAGAGAGAGAGAAAGTGAGAAAGCAAGCCGTCAGACCCGAGACTCAAACTGTAGTTGGCCATGGTGGGAGTCCAGCACCTTAACCACCACAACTTGCTGACCCTGTCTCCCTGTTTCCTATAAATCAAAGGATTAAATTAGATTATTTCTGGGATACCTTCAAGTAGTACAGTTTTGCAACCTCTTGAAACTAATCTACAAAATCATAAGGGAGCAGGCCAGGGAAGAGATGCTACGAAAGGAAAGAAAGCAACGTAAGCTTTAAAACAAAATACATTTTCCAGCCTCATGCTTTTTGTTTTAAACCTATTCCCCACATTTCCTGGGCAATGGTTCACTACGTAGCAGAGGTTAGCAGAAATAACAGGAGGAAGGAAAGGTAATATATGATCAATTGATGAAAACGTTGTGATTGAAGGCTCACAGAAACCAAACCCTGTAATACTCACAGAAACCAAACACTATATTACTCATGGGGAACATGGTTCGACACTTGCTAAGTTAGCATTTGAAGTGATTTTTTTTTTTCAGTGCCAAAGGGTGCATACATTTGTCAGAGAGAGAGAAAGAGAGAAACACCCCCCCAATGGGGTGTTGTTATGAAATCCTTTTTCTGACATTTCTTCATCCCATGAGAATTTGCAACATGCATATACATGCGACCAGTTTGTTTTTTCAAGCTTCCAAGACTGGGATTCAAGCAATAGTTAGCCATGTGAGTCCACTCTCTGTGCATGGTGCTTAACCACTGCACAATGGTGTCAGCCCTCCAGTGACTTTATGAAAAACACAATTAATAGAAATAATGAAAATTATTGTACTTCTAAAAATGAAAATGGGAAGATTGGTTGAAAATCTGAAAAAGCAAGGGACTACTCATTCCCTTCCTAATCCCACAAAGCCAAATTGACTAACTTGCTCCCACTCCAACATTTAGACCAAAAAAAAAAAGAAAACTGGAAGAGATGCAATGTAGAAAGCAGAATATTAAGATAAAAAATTAAGAAACTTAGGAATTATTTAAAACCTCAGATAAAAAAATAGAAATAACATTTTACCTATAAAATATGAATAGAATGCTATGAAGAAGGAATGATCAGAGAACAAAATTCTCGGAGGTTAAAAATATGACAGCTGAAATCTAAAGGTTTAAAAAGTAAAGTTGAGGGGCTGGCAGGTGGCATGGTGGTTAAGGGTGCTGGACTCCCACATGGCTGACTGCAGTTCGAGTCTTAGACCTGGCAGCTTTCTCTCTCTCTCTCTCTCTCTCTCTGTCTCTCTGTCTCTCTCTGGTCACACACACACACACATTTTTCTTTTTGAAAAAAAGTGAAGTTGAGGAGAGGCATTGTATGTCCCCACTTAATATTGTTATAGAGTTATAAAATTATACAAAATTATAAGACATATTTTGAACATTATCTTTAAAATTCAGTATTTTGAAATTTTGAAAGTTGTTTGTAAACTGTCAAGAATTATGGAGTATGAGCTAAATTATTTTGCTATGTAAAGTAAATGTTTGTGGAAAAATGTAAAAATAAATGAAAGATAAAAAAATTAAAAAAAGAACTAAAAAAAAAAAAGTAAAGTTGAGGGGCTGATAGGTGGGGTGGTGGTTAAAGGTGCTAGACACCCACATGGCCACCTGCAGTTCAAATCCTGGACCTAGTGACTCACTTTCTCACTTTCCCTATCTCTCTGATCAAACTGGAAAATAATAATAATAAAGTTAAATAATTCTTTGAATAAAAATGTAAAGGATATCACTCAGAAAACAGAAAAAAAGACAAAGACATGAAGAATAGCCAATAGCTGACTGCTAGCTGTTCTAGAAACAGAGAAATGGAGGGAAAGAAATTAGAGAAATAACACAATAAAATTCTCCATTAACTTGGAGGACAGAGGTGTAGAGGTAAAATGTGACAGTGTGAGACAAAGCCACATGGGAAGGTTGATGGTTCATATCCAGAGACCTCTCTGAGCATGTCTAACACATGTGTGCCCATGATCTGAGGCTGGCAAAAGTTGGAAGTGCATTATAGTGTCAAGACCCTATTGAGGGTATTGTCTCTCTCTCTCTTTCTCTCTCTCTTTCTCTCACTCATTCACTCATGAAATAAATAAGCTTTAAAAAGAAAAAAAAAGCAATCTCCAAAATTGAAAAACATTTATATTCAGATCAAAAAAGCCTACTGTAACCACCAGAATAAATGAAAATGAATATACACTAAAGTGTAAAACAGTGAAATTTAAGAATATCAAAAATAGAGAGAAAAAATGTTTTCAGATAGGAAAAAATAAGTCACATTAAAAGGATCAGGAATGAGAATGGCTTAATAATTCTCAACAGCAAAACCAAAAGCTAGATCAGTGTCTTTATAACTCTAATGGGAAATAACTTCTAAACAAGGATGCTCTATCCACCCAAATAGTTGATCAAGGGAGGAAGATGGAATAAAGACATTTTCAAACATGCAAAGTTCCAAGAAAATTATCTCTCAGGAAATCTTCAAGATCTTGTTGGAAAATGTGCACTACTGAAACAAGAATATAAACTAAAAGAAAAAGGAAAAAAAAAAAAAAGAGGCTTTTGAAAATGGGATTTTTTTTTTTTTGAGAGGTATTTTTACTATAGGGCACATGCGATCGCCAGAAAGACAGAGAGAGACAGAGAGACAGAAAGCAAGAAATCATCCCCCAGGGGGGATGGCCACACCACAATCCCTTCTCCTCCATTCTCCTCTTGGGATCTTGGGCATGCGTGCATTCGTGCTAGGCATGAGTTCAAGCCACCGGGTCTGGGACAGGAACTGCGGTCGACTACATGGGAGTCCAGCAACATAGCCATTATGCTAACTGCTGGCCCCAGGATATTTCAAGTAGGAAAGAGCAAGTTCCAATAATTATGGCGAGGGGAGATCCCAAGATGACAAAAGTGCAACAGGACTAGTTCAGGTGAGTGGTAGATGTAGGACTCAAAGAGAGATGTTTCAAATAAAAGAGAAACAAAGAATAGAGAGACCTGAAGGATTTAATAGCTGGTAATACTTGAAAACTGTTGCAGCGCTCTTGAAAAGTATTCAGAATTAGTAATAGGTACATAGTAAATTAATAAAACTAAAAAATAATAAAAACACAAAATTATTAACTCCAATAAATGCAAAAAGTGTATAAGAAAATAGATTTATCATTTAATGTGTCTCAGCTCTGAGTAACCATATAGTCATGACAATATGAATATTAATTTAAACAAAAATTGTCATATAAGTATATGACAAAAATTGTCATATAACACACACATGTGTGCAAGACTGGAAAAAGAATTAAGACCTTACCTTCCATAGTAAGCAGTTAATAGACAATATCTAAAATTGAAAAATTTTTTAAAGGCAGAATCAATACATTTATAGAAAAACCCTAGATGATAGCTATAGATAATCTTCTGTCGAGGAAGTGAAGCTTATTCTCTCCCTCCTCCCCACTTAAGGATGGGCTAGACTTAATCACTCACTTCCAAAACACAGACTGGGAAAAACAGTAATATTACATGGAGAAACCTAGCAAACACTACCTTAATCAATGAACGCTAACATTGGTTAACATCACCAGTACCGTCATGTGGGTATCACCTACCCCTGACATAATGCAACAAGGAAGACAGTTCATATCTGTAGTGATCTTTCTAAAATCCACAATCTCAGTCTAATAATGAGGAAAACATCAGACAAGCCTAAGCTGGGAACATTTTACCAGATACCTGACAGGATGGAGACATGAAAGAAAAAGGATTACAGCATGCCCCTGACCCATTGGAGAGTGATTTATATCTCTCTGTCTTTATCTCTCTGTCTCTCTTTCTCTCATGAGTGCACATGTCCTCTGGCAATAAAAAGAATATATAAGGCAGAAAAGGAGAGGAAGACAATAGGGATATAAAGGAAAGACAACAAATAGACAATAGTAACAAATATGGTAGATATTATCCACCTATGTCATAATCATATTAAACACCAATGATCTAAATACAACAACTGAAAGGCAAACACTGTCAAAGTGGATCAACAAGGCCAAACTACATGCTGTCTACAATAAACACACTTTAAGGATACACGTAGATTAAAAGTCAA